AGGGAAAAGTAGTCTCTGTTGTGCCAATTAATACTGTCAGAAGAAGAAATTTTGGATCATGAGCCCTTCCAAAAGCTCAGATACACGTGGCTAAAGACTTGCCTTGTTTCTCAGCAGTATTAGCCTGGCTAGCAGGAGACGTTATTTCCCCTTACAAGTCCTACCTTGCTTCAATCCTGACACTAACTGCAGCAACATCAATGATTCACAGACAACAACTTTCTACCTCTCAACCACTTTCCTATCCTCTTCTATCCACCTTAATTTCAAATAACCCTTCTCTGAAAAATTAACAGGACTTGTTTGCATATCACCAAAGCTGGGTCACTCTGACAGTAAAGCCATTGCACAGTGAGAAGCAGCTTTCTTTTAAGACTGGTGACATTTTACAGAGTCTTCACAGAGTGCCCTGTCCTCCCCTCAACAAGACTCAGTAGCCCACTTCCTCACCAAAAAAATAATCTTAGTTATCAAAGCATATAATTGTCTATCAGTCTTTTTCTGCTCTCTCCTAAGAGCACGTGTGACTTCATCAAGCCTTCCTCTGCTTTCAGCTCCTCCAAACATTAGATTTCTCCCCAAACAGTCTTGCCATCTATTACAAAGTGGTGTAAAACCATGCTCGCTCCACTGAAACCTGTAGGATTGGTCTGGATTTACACCACTTCAGAGGAGCTTTTACCTGCAGATATTCACTGTGCTTACACCAGCTCATTTCTGCTGCAACAGCAGTGCATAAAACTTGTGGCCCATTGGGCAGTCCTGCCTTTTTGGATGCAAATGCCCAAAGCCTGATATCCCTGTCCCAGTTTTGTAACACTGGTATTCCCCCACCACTCCTAACACACAGGTGTCCTAGCTGTTCACATCTGTCTTTGACTTCAAAGCAAGCCAGGGCTGCTCAAAACATCTACAGACTAAGGTACTTGCACACTTATCTACCCTGCCTTATCCCTTGTATCCCATCACTTTGGAAACTGAGCGCTAAAACAAGCAGGAGAGTTTTGCTGCCATTCACTACTTAAAAAACACGTTGACTGGCAGCTTTGGCACTGTCACATACGTGATGAGCACAAGGTCTCATCAGCTGCCAGCACAGGCTGCCGTGGTGTCGTGCAGCCCTGCTGATAAGACCCTGGGGAACCCACAGCAAAAAAACACTGCAGCAGTTTAAATTCTGGCTACTTCTTCTCCATTGGATGCACAAGGAAAACAAAGCGAGGTGAGGGAAAAGCTTTCACTTCCCTGGGTGATAACACTTGCAGTGTTTCATTGCCAAGGAGTTATTCCAGGGCAGACAGAAAGGAAGTTTTGCATACTCTCTCACAAACCACTTGCTCCTTACACAGAGACGTTTTGCTCCCTCTTTTGCAGATACACAAGAGCCCCTGAACACCCAACAAGCTCTGCAGAGCCCACCCTTCGCCAGCAACCCCAAAGTTCACCTAAAGCAAATCGCATGGATATCTTTCCTGCAGGAAGCAGGAAAGTAACTCGGTCACAACAGGTCGCACTGGAGCTGGGCTCATCCCTACTGCAAACTCTGGAAGCAGCGTAGCCCTTCATCGGGACCATTTCCCCCACACCCAGGGTCAGAGAGCATCCCCAGAGCACAGTACAGACTCACCACCAGGATCAGTGTCCCCAGGCACTCAGCCAGCGCTTGCCGCACTAGCTTGTTTCTGATCCTCAGGCGCTCCTCAATAACAGAAAGGATGTCCTTTTGCCTCCCCATTGCAGCAGAGGTGATGGTCAAGCAGTGTCAGAGAAGAGGCAACAGCTGATGAAGTCTCAGCAAGGTTTCTTGCCCAGCACGGCTGCCTTTGCTTATAAGTAAGTTGAGTGGTGCCTGACACACCTCCTGGGTAACCACACCCCCTCCACCCTTTCTTCAAACCCAACTTTGTTTTTCCCCCCCTCTCCTTTTCAGCATGAGGCAGAGCGGGTGGTTTTCTGCTTTACTGCTTGCATAGGTGAGCAAAAGGTGCAAGAGTTTCAAAGGAAGGACAAATTAAACGTGGCAGACGTCCTGCTCAAACCCCTGCTGTTTTCATCGCTGAGCACCTAACACATGGGGCCACATCTACCCCTCTCCAGCTTCAGCTGAAGACAGAAAAGATAAATGCATAGACTGAGCAGTGCCTTAGCCTACCTGTGTGAGCATGGTGCCCTGCTTTTGGCATGCATTCCCTCCCAAGCTCCTTCAGGATGTCAAAGTGATGAGTGCTCTAGCACTGGTTCAGAGGCTGCAGGGGCTTTTGCAGCAAAATTGTGGGGCAGGAGGGTTTGATCCCCCATACCTGCACTGCCAGCTGACACCAAGGCACCTCCTGACCCCAGCAATTGCCCGGTTGAAGCTGGTATCAAGAAGCAAGACCAGACCCCCCCTCCGTGAAAATCTGCTTCTGGATCCAGACTCTTACGTATTGACAGATTGTCTCCCTCTCGCAGGGCTTTGGGAGAGCATTTGCAGCACAGTCCCTATGAAAGCTGTGAAGAAAAGGCAGGAGAGATCCCCAGAGAGCCAATCCCCATCACAGGACCTTGACAAGGAGCACACAGGCTCACCGAGCCTCACAGGAGCCAGCCCTTGCTGCCTTTTCATCCTCAGTCCGTCCTGTGTCACCCTGCGACAGTTCTATGGGAGGGCCTGAATGAAAGCTGTCCCAGTCCGTACCATCTGGGTAAGAGCTGTTAGCAGGGTGCATGCCACTGGTGGCATCTGGTTTCTGTTAAGTGAGCAGTAAAAATTCCCTGGGCTCCTTGGCTCACCAGGGCTTGACACAGAGCAGCAGGGCAGAATTTGGAGCACTGAAGGAGACCCCTTTCCTGGATTTGTTCCCCACTTCTTTTACACAGCCACAGATGCTCGGTTCCTCCTCTTCCCTTTATTTAACCATCAACTTTCCTGTTGAAAAGACAGGGATTTTTAGTGCAGCAGTGAATGGACCTTTATTTCATACAGAAACTGCAGCCAGCCCGAGAAGCAGAGTCAGGAATGTGGTTAAGAAAGAAATAACGTGTGAGGACTCAAATGCAGGGAACACTCGGGTCCAAATGTAATTACAAGGGCAGGAAACTTTCCTTATCTCTTTATGCTCAAGCCCACATTGCTATAGCCAGCATCAGTGGGGTCTTCTGAACTACAGCAAGCACTCCATCAGCTCCATGTGCGCTTGCTGCGGCTGCTATTGCAAACCAGCACTCAGGACATCCATCTTTAACCTTATTTCTGTACCTCTCCCCTCATCCTCTTGCTGTGCATCATTCAAACTGTGGAGGATCCACAGCCTCCTCCTCCTCCTGCACTCAACTCTCTGCCCTTTTCACCCCACAGATAGAAACGAAGCTGTGTGCTGGTTTTATCCCGTTTGGCAGTTCCTAAGCTAAGGTTCGTGGGCTGTTTTGCCACTTGCTGAACCACCAGTGTGCAGACGCTGTGTTATGTGGTGTAGTTTTATTCAGATTTATTTAGACTGGATTTCTGGATCCCATTCTTTCCCTTGTGGTGAGGAAAAGGCCATGAGACCAGAGAGAGACAGGTGAGGAGCAAGAAGCATTGGGGTGGTCTGATGTTCTCCATGTAGGTATATTTTTCCTGTCTGCAGCAGCCCCTCTGGCTATGAGTTGAGGATACAGACATTTCCTCTCAACTGGTGAAAGGAGGGGAGATGTCTAGGCTCTCAGGTTGATGGTAGAAGATGGTGGTAACACCAGCATCAAAGCTGGTGCTTGGAGAAGTCTAGACAGACACAAGCCCGAGGAGCCAGGGTGGGGTGGGCGCTCCAATACCGGCTTTGCAACTGACTCACTGCCTGACCCTGAGCAAATCCTTCACCTTTCCACACCTCAGCTTCTCCATCAGTAAACTGGAGAGAGTGACACCGGATTCCCCTCTTGGGGCGTTGTGAGGGTGAATCACTACAGCCCAAGATCCAGCGACTTAAAATGAGCAATAGAGACTTATGCAATTGCTTTCTCAACAGACAGCCATATTATTATCTAGGAAAGAGCTTGGGGAAGGGACAGTGATGCAACGCTAGAAGAAGTGGAAGATTTTTTCAGAAGCAATAACTAATCAAAGTGTGAGTAAGGGCTGAAAATCCCCAGTGCTGGAGGTTCTCTGCGCCAAGGCAGGAATTGCCCTGCCACACCATTCAGCTGGACTCCAGGGATACAAGGTCTAAGCATAAAACAATTAAAGATGTATGTCAGCAGCAAACAAGTTTGGAAACTGTGTGTCAGTTTCCAAACAAGCCCATGTCCTGCAGTAACTGGTGCACAGGATACTGGTACCCATCCTGGTGTTTAGAGGAAGTCCACAGGTCAGTAGAAGCAAACGAGGAAGGATGTAGCAGTAAAGGTACTTCTGGGCTCTCCTAGTATTGGGTGGACACAGAGAGATATCCATGCCCTTTGCATTGCCTTGCATGGGCATTCAAAGATGCTCTTTCACAGTACAAAATCTCAAAGAAAAGACATTTCCAAAACTGATGCCTGACCTCTTAGTGGTAGTGCCAAAGCTATTGAACCTCAAGCAAGGGCCTTCTGTTGTCAACCATGCCTAATTCAGACATCAAGTTTCAAGAGTGCTATGGTGACCTACAGCTCTCAACCCATACAGTGCCAAAAAATCAAGGCATTGAGGGGGGCAATCTAACACTTTAATTTATGGAAAGTCCTGATTGCACAGAGGAAACTCAAAGAGGAAAGAAAGGTCAGCTCAGCACGGAAGCCAGAGACATTGGTCTTTTGTGCTTCTTCCATAGATCTCTATTTTTCCATCCAATATCTTCTGGGGCCAATAAGTATGGCAGTATCTAGAATAAACCAAGATTTGGACCCCTACCCTCTGACCCTGGTCCAACTTGTCCATAATGTTTTTCACTTTCTTATTCCTTTCCTTTCTCTCCTGCAGAACCATGCAACACGCTACAAAAACCTCACTGTGCTCAGGCTGTTATTTCTAGACAAGATCCAAAACTAACACCCAGGTTCCAAGTTTGCTGTTTGCATTTCAGCCTTACTGCGTGGCTCCCTCCCTCGTCACCCCGCTCCAGCAGAAAGACACAGGTGAAACCTTAAAGGAAGAACTGATCTTTGGCTGCTCCCCTTCAGCTGTTTTCCTACCAGCTCTTGTGAAATAGAATAAACTCAGGCTCATAAACTCCTTGGCTTCTGCAGAAGCTTACGAGCCTCCAGCAACGTAACTTTTCCCATTAAAAACTAAGCTTAACAAAGCAACCAGACTTCTTCTCGAGCAGCCGAATGGATAAACCTGGACAAATGGGTTCCATATCTTGTCCAAGCTGAATTGATTCACCCATCCCAAGATGGATGGTGCAATTCAATAAGGAGAAAAGCGTGAATCATACCAGTCTGTACTGAGTCATTCATTGCACTTGATGGCTGGGTCACCTGGTGCAAAAGCCGTTATGCCAAGAGAGGTCACTGGGTCAAAGCATAATGGGATTCATCCTTGTGCAATATCCCTTTGGAAGATACCTCTGACCATCTCCTTCCCATGATCTACTTGACAGAGCAATACAGTGACATGTTCAGGGGATTTCATTAAATATAAAAATTATAGCTTGCCTAACAAGGCAGGGTAGGAAGTGAGTGGGTAGGAAGTTTAGACGCTTTCTAAACCATTCTAGCTGGAGGGTTGAGTGCAGTGATTTCAACATCCTGCCTTCACTCTCCACATTTACATAGCCAGATGTCATTTCATGTCTGGGTCTGCTTAGCCCTGCACCTTGAGTTAGAGAAATGGAGAAATTCCTCCAGGGAACCACGGTAGTCTACACAGCAAAGGGCTGCTGATGGCATCTGTGTTTGGAGAGACGTAAGGTGAAATTGCAATCCTAGTTTAGGTTCCTTGGACATCTAAGAGAGGTTTGGAAGTTGGCGAACTGGGTTTGGACTTGAATTACAATACAGTAATGGGAATAACATGTAAAATCCCTGAAAACAGCTCTTCATGAAGTCCACTGCTTAGGACCAAGTGAAGGAAAGGGTGACCCTGAGTGGAGTCTATACCTCATACCATCCAGAAGTACCTCATAGAGACACATCCCAGTGTTACACTGGAACATGGGCCCACAGCCCGTTCCCGCAGGCGGTTCCTTGTCGTGTCTGATTTCCTCCTCATCCCAAAGCTGCTCCCAGTTTACAGGAATAAACATTGTTCATCACATGCCATTCCTGTAGAGAAGTCATTTTCCAGTTTAAGCAGTAGCATACCAGAATAACTACTGTACACTGGAAAAGCACCAATTGCTCCAGAAGAAAGCTTTTTAATAACACATCTGAAAGGAAAGCTATTATAAACAGCTCTCCTGAAACAGAGATTGGGCAGGAGCTTGTCCCATAAACTGCTCTGTGTAGACAGTCGTTCTCCTGAGAGCTGTGGAGCCAGTCCTGACTTGGAGACACTGCTGCTGCTGCGCACCACAGCAGGAGAGTTCAAAGACCCTGAAGGCAAAAGACACAGAAATGGGGCGAAACTCCACCAGCCCAAAGTGTGAGTCAGGAGTTCCCTACCAGGTGAGGATGTGTCTAGAAATGGAAAGTGTGCCTGTTCTCCACCTAAATGCAGGTAGTCTCAGCACAGAGGTCCCTGGGCAGAGAAATGATCACTTTAAGAGCAAAAAACACCTAGATGTCATGTTAGATGTCTACTCCATGTGATGACTTTAGCAGTGTCTCTTTGTTGGCTATAAAGGAAGCCTAAAACAACTAGCCCATGTGGAGACAGATACATATAGTCAGTGTAACCCACCCCCAGTCACAAAGGAGGTGCAGACTTGC